ACACACACACACACACACACAGTCAGTCAGTCAGTCAGTCAGTCAGAAATGTCTTGATTTCAACATTCAGAGTATGAGCTTGTTTGGGTTGCAACACGTCAGTGCACTGTGTTTAAAGCTACTTCTTTCTTCAGTATCAGTACAGTTGTAAACATATTCAGACTGGTGCTTGGATGTTTCACTAAGTGGTCAACAATTTTTTTAGTTTTGACCCTTCTAAGTTAAAGTAATCAGGATGAGTTATTTAGTTTGACAGAAGCTTGTCTGTGTCACTTAACAATTGTCTTCTAAATCTTAAATGATGTTTTTGTATTGTGAGCTGCTACAGGGTTCTTATAGTACACAGTATCTTATTTTTCTTAAGGTTTATCAGAGGTAGGTGCCGACGTTAATTCTTGTATATAAGCTTTTCCTGTTTTGGGTTGAATATCTTTATTTTTGGGATGTGAAGCTTTGTAAGCCACAATCATTTGAGTCAGAAGAAAACATGGGGATCCTGATATATCTTGAGCAAAAAGGTAAAATATTTTTTTCCCATTTGAATATTTTCTTTGACCTTTATCTTGATATCAGGACATGGATATTAATTTAGAGCTTACAGAGCCGACTGTGCAGCCACATGCATGTAAATGAGCCGCTCCTTCACATTTTGTAAAGGTTGCTTGCTGACAAACCTTATTCAGTTGATCACCAGTGTGGTTAAGTCTTTGCTGCAGTGATAATTGAGATTTTCTTAGCTAATAGTCAGTCCTTTTTTACAGTTTGTTTTTCATGTTTAATAAAGCTCTTCAATATATAAATGTGTACGCTGTAAATCCTTGGAGGTGCTTAGCAGGAGGCGATGTTAAATTGGCAGGAGGAGAAATGAACAGGCCAACAGATCACCAAGAAAAAACTTTATTAGCCATTTGGAATATTTTACCATTGTTATGCTCTTGCACAAGTCAATTGTACACAACAGAACTGTGATCGTTGGTATTTACAAGGCCGTCATATTGGAGATTAGTGCAGTGGGATGTGATTGGGATCCTGTGGGGGGGAGGTGGTGTTCAGCGTGGCCGACATGCATCGCAGAGAGTTGGTCATGTTTGAGACACTGAGCAGGAGAAGCACCCGTGTGCAGCTCAGTTTGCATATGTTTAAATCATAAATCATAATCTAAATCTCCAGCTAAAGTAAAGACGACTAAATTTAACTTTCATATCACTGATCACTTTGAATATATTAACATTATTTAAGGTTATAATGTTGCAGACAAACTACGGAACCAATATGACTGACATGTAACGCATGAAACAAATAAATCCATCCAAATGACTAACGCTAAAGTTTGAACTGCAAAATAGGCACATGTGGCAGATAAACAACTCTGATGTTACAGTATTTTTTGTTCTTTACATACAGGAGGAAAAAAGAAAGGGAAACAGTGTTAGAAAGAAAACTTTTCCCTCACCACAAAAACAGAAGTCACAAGAAGATGGTGTGATTATGTAAAAGTTGTTTTGAAACGAAGATGAGCTTCATCAATGTAAAGCTCAAGATTTCCCTCCTGGTGTTCTGGATTGTGTCAGCGTTGTGTTTCACTGTGTCTGCAGAACATGCAGAGAGAAACGTAAACAGAACTCATGACGGGTTTAAATTGACTCTGTGCCTCAGCTGAAAAAACAAAACAAAACAAAAAACGAGCGAACCAAATGAACAAATATCCCCACGTTGTTGTTTTCTTCTTTCTTAGCACTGTTTGTTAAAAAGATGGCAAGACTGCAACAACTTCAGGGGGAAGCAGTTACAGGTTTGTTTTAAAGCCGCCACGAACAACAGACAAGACTCATTTAGAGCAAAGCATACACGCGTTACACAGACGGAGCATGAGCGTAATCCAAGGAAAACAATCAATACCAAGCAAAGAAAGTGATCAGAAAGGAAAACTTGAGTGTTGGGTTGGTTTTAGAAGGAAGCTTCAGTGTGAAGGCAGTGTCTGTCTGGTTGTGTTCAAATGCTATAGATTCCCCCACGTGTCCGGAGAAGGAAACTGTTCTAGACTGCCGCTCTCGCTGTGCTCCTCTTCTCCCATGGTGAAGGTTAATCTGTACTGGAGCTGGACTTTCTCCTGAAGCACACACACACACACACAGGACAGGAGACTTTTAATCTTCCAGCGACACTCGGCTGGATGGAAAACTTCTGTACTGATGAAGACCCTCCTGTGTCTGGATAGTTAAGAATCTTGACTTACCTTGTTTGGGTTTGCCAGCAGCAGGATCTGTGTGATGGCTGCAGGAGGAAGGATGGGGTTGAAAGCTGGGAGCTCAGTTCCTGACGGAGGCTGCAGCTTCACTGCCATAGACTACAGTAAATGAAAAAGTGATAATAATGTCTTTATCAGATTAATCTTCCATAAACGTAAAGTGCAAAATCAGCTGGTGTGTTTTCAATAGGACACAAAGGCTTTCTCACTGCTGACCTTTGGAGCTGTCGTCTCCAGGTTTATATTGGTGACGGGGGCGGGGGCCGAGGACAGCATGGAGACGATCACCACCAGCACATCAGGACGAGATGGAGGCGAGTCACGGGCGAAGTGAAAGAGAACCCGCAGACTGTGTTTGTCAAACACGGTCACAGGTAACAGACTACCTGTAAAGAGAAAGAGAGAGACGGAGAGAGGGCAGATGTGATAAATCCATACAAATGTAGAAGAAGCATCGAGCTGTCAAGTGACTTCTGTTTACTTACTGGGCTTGATGGATTCTAGCGGTACAAAAACATCAGTCAGGGTGATTTCAGCAGGAGGCGTCTCTGTTAGAGTTTGTGGTAAATCCAGCAATATAGTTCCCAGGCTGGGCTGAGAGTTGAGAGGTGCAGGAGGTTCAGAGGAAAACACTGGGATTGGGTTTGGGGTAATGTTGGGACCAGACTTGCTCTGGAGATCTCTCAGTGTTGGTTTGAACTGTTGCTTGTCCCTGAAAGCAGAGAAATATTCAAACCACCTGTAGCTGCCTTCAGACATGCACTCAACTCCAGATAACTGTCTTGAGTCAGCTGCTGCAGACTTTTTACAAATACAAATACCTCAGAATGGAGATATCTCTCGGTCTGGAGATGGACGGCAGTTCGCTTATTTGTGGATATAAAGATTATCTCTAGACTGCTCTCGTAGTTTTAGCAGGAATGTGCCGGTGTTAGTATCATTTGAGGTAAATACCATTTGACCTGCTGTCCCTCTGGAGGCAGGGACTGCTGCATCAGCGTCTTCCCCAGCAGGTCCAGCTCGTCCAGTGCAGAGTTAACAGGAGCGGAGCCAGATGAAAGCAGCTGAGGTTGGGAGGGTGGGTCTGGACTCAGGAGGAGACTCGGTGCTGCAGGGATGTCGGCCTCTATGCTGTCAGAAGACTGGAAGAAGAAGAAGAATCTGTTTTACAGGTGACATTAATCACATTAACATAACATGACTTTAATTCTCCCTCCGCCCACCTGGAAGGAGTCCCAGGCTGTGGAGTCCTCAGGCTGTGAGGGAGGGTTGGAGGTGTGTGTTCCTTCACTTAAACCTGTGGGATGCACAAGGCATTCAGAAATAAAGTAACACCTTCAGTGTTTCCAGAATTATTATTTTTCGATCCTCAGTAGTTGGTTCATAAGCTGTTTAATTAAACTAACACTCAACAGGAAAGGCCTGAAATGCTCCTACCGAGTGACATGAGCTCGTCGTCAAGGAGACTTATCCCCATCTCCTGTGTGGGGGCGTTGAGGCCGTCTGTCGGAGTGGGAAATTCTGGGAAGGAAGGAGGCGACTGGGGTGACGTGTCCAATCCTGACAGATCGAGTAGTGCTGTTCCTCCGCCTGTGAAAAATGGGTTCAAGCCAGTAGTGAAAAGCTTGAAACAAAGAAGAGCTAAATTGATGAAAAAAAAAAAAAAGAATGTGTAGCTTCACCCACCTGTTTGTTTCTGTGTGTTTAATGTGTTGTTGCCATTTATTATCTCGCCCTTCACCTGCTGCTTGTAGAGGTTGATGACATGAGTCAGACTGTCGTTGGCCTGCAGGATCTCCGCTGAGGAAAGATACAAGAAAATCTGCCTTATCAAACATACAGGTGTAGATTTAAGAGAACATTAACGATTCTGCAGCAAATAAACAAGGCTCATCTCTCTTCTCCTCGTTTGCATATTTAGAGAGATGAAAGAACACTCACCCAGAGCCTCGTCGTTGTCCTCGGTATCACTCGCCAGTCTGAACAGTGTAGGTCTCATCTTCTCACAGCGCTGGTACAGATCCTGACCACACAGCACACAAATCAAATTAACAGCTAGCAATCAAGGTTCTGATTTACAGCTCAGGCTACATTAGTGCACCTAAGCACAAAAGAACAGTTTGAATCTCGTTCTGGTTAAAAGCACACGTCTCTCAGATCACCTGTATGAGTTCAGCGTTGCTCTGGTTGCTGGCAGTGCTGTCGTAGTCCTGCAGAAGCTGAGTCAGCAGACCGACGCTCTCCTTCACCTCCTGAATGGCGTTGACCCGCTTTGACACCTTCTCTGCTCGCTTCTGATCCTGAAAGAGACAAGAGATAAATTCAGTAATAGAAGGGCGTGGCCACAAATGCGTGCATGAATGGCAAGAATGGAGAAGTACAGCAATGTCAGAGAGAGGCCGCTCGAAAAATATCAGTGACAAGAGCAAAGAGCAGTTCCCTTTAATCAGGACAAATTAAATCTCAACTCTTGCTGAATCACTCTGCCAGCCACACACAAACCCATTTCCTTATTGGGTGTATGTTCCTGTCACGAGTGCATTGTTCTGATTTTATTCTCCTTTTCTTAAAATCACGTGAAAAGGCAAATAACCAGCAGAGTAGTTTAGAAAAAAACAGAAACATGCGATTTATAAAAAGAGTGTAATGTGAGATGGAAGGAGCTTTACCTCCTGGACCATTTCCTTGATAAGATTGTTGGCGGCTTTCAAGTCCTCCGGGTGTGAACTATTCAACAGACGAGACAGCATCTGAAAGAAGGAAAACAGCCTCAGTTCACACAGTGAAATATAAGTCAACAGTCTTTAGAAATCCTGATGAGGAGAAGAGCACAATTAAAACTGGCTCAGGTCACATAAAGACCTCATACTGCAAAATATATTTCAACGTAACTAGTACAGTTAAATAAATAGTAACTACAACAGTTATATGTTAATATGCTTTTCAAAATGTTTGGAAAATCTTACTTTTGACTTCTCCTCATCCTCAAAAATGGCATTCTTGGGTCTGGGTGGAGGAAGGTTCAGTAGTTTGTCGGGTGGAAGCTCTGGGTCTTGTTTAATTATACCTGGTTACAAACACAATTTGAAAAAGACAAAGAGTGAAATGATTTGTCATTACTTCTTATCACTGCTGTTATTTGTTGCTAAAGCCCTAATTACCTTGTAAACAGTGTTATTAGAGTTAAGATGAAAATGGACCTGAGCTGCACCTTTCAGTCTTTATAACAACTTCAGAAGTTATGATTTTCATTCCTCTGAGGACAGACGGCCTCTCACCTTGTTTCTTCAGCATCTGATAAGCGTCTGAGATCTTGCCCTCATCAGGTAACCCCAAAGTCCAGCTATAGATTAACTCCAGAACCTTCTTCTTTACTGGCTCTGGTGACCGTGAGCCCAGGTACTGAGTGGGGGATGGAGGGCAACAACAGTGATTTTCACATACAAGCGTAAACGGAAAAAATACATTACACATACAATCACACGCAGAGTGAAGTATTACCTTTGGAGAAACTACTTTGATGAGTTCATTAAGAAAACGGAACTTGCCCACTTCACTGTGAAAACTTTTCCCACAACTTTTCATACATGTTTCCAGAACCTTGTGGTGAAACAAAATAAAACAGGGGAAACGAGTTACACATCGTATTAGGAACACAACCTTGTTTGAAAATCTAGCAGTTTTCTGCATTCTGTTGCTTTAGGATTCGATGCACATGGATTTTAGGAACACTGAGAATATTACTGAATTAAATCTGACAATACTGGAAATCTTGTGGCAGTAAATGTCTCATTTGGAAAATGGAAATATAATCTGTAAAATCTCATTTTTTTTAGCAGAATATAAAATTCTGATGAAAACTTTGCAGCGAGGACCAGGAGGCAGCTCCTTCTGACGGACTGACTCAGATTTGAACTCACCAGCAGAGCCTGCATGGCCTCCCACTCCTGTGGAGACTGGACCTTGTGGGCCAGGAGCCTGGTGGCCAGCTGAGGTCTGGAACACAAGTTACCAGTGACAGTGAATTCAGAGACATCAAGGATTCAACCACTCAAAGAGTTCAAACATATGCACGATCTTCAGTTGTAACCTCATAAATGTGCAATTTACAATCAGAAGTAACTTTATTTGTTTGAAATTCAGCCTGAATCAGACGCCTTGAGCTTAAAATCAGAAACAAGCAGACCATCGTTGAGGAAAGAAGCAGAAACAAAGTGCTGACCCTGGCACCTCGTCAGTCTTACCCCTTTGAGTCATTGTTGAGCTGGTCACAGAAGGCGTGGATGCTGCTCCAGTCCGTGTCTTTGTTGAGCGGGTTGGTAGCTCTGTCTGAAATGTTAGAGAACAGAGATGATAAGATTTACTGCATTATATTTAATATTATAAAATTACAGTCATGTTACAACATAGGCTTCTATAGGACCGAGGATTATTTTTAATCATTTGTATTTCTAAGGTTTTCCTGTTTGTAAGAAATGAGTCATCACTGCATCTGAGTTTAACTCAGTGAGAATACAAACTGATGACAAACACAGTACTTATACCTGAAGTACTTTTATATTACAGACGTGAATTATGAATATTTAGGTTTTTAAACAAGTAAAACTCGATCTGAGCTCGAAGGAAAAGTCACAGAGGAATAAATGAAAAGTCAAATTAATGAAGTCACACACACACACGCACGCGCACACACGCGCTAACATCACATTAGCTAGCTTGCTGTCGGTGGTCGCTATGTGTCACTCGGGCTTTCTGACGCCTGCACACTGATGACGGACCCTATGTGACTAAAATGGCTTCACACCGGTCCCGTCACCCGGTGTCTGCCGGAGCTGTGCGGCCGGAGCCGGAGCTCAGTGAGCCCGTGTTGTGTTGACAGCTGCCGGCCACAGCGGCAGCAGGAGCTACGTTAGCATCCTGGATGTGACCGCGGGATCCGGGAGCCCTTCAGCCGGGACCCGCTCCACCGCGGTGGGCTGTCATGTCACCCGCTACAACCCGCGGTGCGGTGCGAGGACCCGGGTCTGCAGACGACACGGGCCCGGGGACACGAGCGGAAATACTCACTGATACGAGACTCCAGAGTCTCCGCGTCCGGAGGAGCAGCCATCACTGCGAGATTTGACTGGAGTGGAAGTCTCGCGAGGGGACGCGCGGGATTGTAGAGGCGGATGTGACGTAAAAACAAGAGCTCAAACGAAAAGACGTTTACAAAATAATAGCATAATTTGCTAATTATAACTACCCTACGTTATTTATTTCATTATAT